AGCTCAGCACTGCCGGCAATGCACTGCGGCCAAAACACCCCCCCCCTCCCACCCGTCAACCCCCCAGGGGTGGGAGGGGGCCAAAACGTTCAAATTGACAGCATTGTTTTCCACTTAGAGGGCGGATTCTGCATTCTCTCAGCCTGCGCAAAATGGCCATGCCCGCCAAAAGAAAAGTGGAGATTTTTTGGAGAACAAATTCAGATCACTTTCTGTCCTGCACGCCAAGCTTTGTGGGATGGTCCCTACGTAGGAACATACATCAAATTTGTAGGAACATACATCAAATTTGACGTGTTAAGTTAAATGTTAACGTGTGTTTGACACTGTTTGTGTTTCATTTCGAAATTTGAAAAGCTGCTTTGACGTTTTCACAGCGCGTCTTGGTACCGTCCAGTGTGCTGTGAACTGCTCTCGCTATGCACTTGCAGTCTACGGTGGCAGCTTTCTTCCTACGTCGATAGTCTGAGAGTGCCTTCCGGCTTCATCGCTCTCTTTTCCTTTACCATCTGCCAGCAAAAAAAAAAAAGAAAAAAAAAAAGAAAAGATTGCCCTTGATTACCCTGAAAACCATAAAGGGGATTGACTGCGCAGATGGTCAAGGAAAAGAGAGCAATGTTTGAGGATGACAGTGACACTGAGAATGTGTATAGCTAGTGTCCCACCCTGGGGGACACCGGGGGATAACACATTACAGTTTGTGGAGTGTTAAGCGTAGTCCCATCTATTTACTCATTATATGCAATTCCTCTTCTTCCTCTTTTTCCTCTTCTTCTTCTTCGTCTTGTGCCTCCTTCCTCCTCCTCCTCCTCCTCCTCCTCCTCCTCCTCCTCGTAGTTGGGATGTAAAAAGGAGTGTGTCCTTGAAGCCGTAATTAACGCAGTTCTGACTCCGAAAAAAGGAGTGTGAACAACGTCGCATTATTCGAATGTCAGTCCAGTGCAGTGCATGCGTACTGTAAATGCCCCCGTGAAAAAAAAAGTGTCCCTTTTTTGTTATTCTTAAACCCACACATGGTGTTCCAAATTTTGACCATGCACGGCGATTTTGCAGAGCTTTTAGTTTTTCGCAGCAGTTTTTTGCTTTCTTTTCACGGCTTGCCGAGGCGTCGTGAAAAGAATCCACACCTTGCCAGTGCTGGGAAAAGGGTTCTGGAAACCCCTTTGCTCAAAATGTGAGGAGGCCATTCCTGACCCTACTCTCCGGACAAGATCAAGGCCTCACTGACCCACATTTAGTGGACAAGACCAGGGTCATACTGACCCAAGAGGAGGGCCTCACCGACCCAAATTTAATGGGGAGGCCCTCATCTTGGATCGGTGACCAGAAGGGAGGCCATTCTCAGAAGTTTTTCAAAATCCTATAGGCCATCATCAATTGGGGAGGCTTACCGAATCTCTGACCAGAGGAGTAGCCAAAGCCAGGTAGTGGCCCTCGTAGGCTGGTACTGCAAATTCTCAAAACTTTTTCAAAATCCTATGCAATTTTCTATATGGGGCGTTGGGCCCGGTTCCCAGCACGTGTTCCTCCCCAGAGAAAGGAGCCTTGTTCCCAAAAAAA